GTGTCGTATTTGTCATACTAATTGAGTGTGACAATTCTATCTAAATGAGTAAAAATTTCACAGAATATATACAAGACGTTGTCAAATTTGTATTCTTTTATAACAAAAAAAAAAAAAAAAAAATCAATGTCTACATCTCGTTCCGTAAGCCAGCATTCTTCATCTCGGCGAGAGCAACCTATGCAAATAAAGTAAAAAGTGCTTCATTACCCCGCAAATAAAAGTCGAGTAGAGCGCGTTTAATTATTGGAAGCAGCAAGGGGTGATAAAATTCTTTGAAGCGACGCCACTGCAAAGCAAGCGTCAAAAAGCCGTCACTCATCGAAAAACGCAAATAAAACGCCGTACGTGCCGCCACTTGACGCCCGTTGTATTTACACATTTATGAATTTATGAAAAACGTCCAAAGAAGCATAAAAATTTGATCGGCCAGAATCGACATCAGCAAGTGTTTTTACGAGCACGCCGCCACTAATAACCGCACGAATCCCACAAGAAAAACCTACACGGAAAAATCGGTCAAACCCCGCCTAATAAGTTATAATTGTCGCCCTCTTATCCCAAGGAACGAGGGTGTGAAATTGATCCCCTATTTGAATACACATCCGGCGCTGCGTCCCTCCGACGTGCCGATATTTATGCCTCCCTCCGCAAAAACTTATAAGAATGAATCAATCCATTCCGTTAAAAAAGCGATCGCCCGAGCCCGATAAAGACCTCCCCAATTCGGCCAATAATAAATCAATAAATAATGCAAAGCAGGTGAAGAGAACGTATTAATCCGTGAGCTCATTGCCAATAACCCGCCATAACCCCGGAGCCCATTATCCTTGTAACGAGTTCGCGTAACTTTGACCCAGATATTCATTCGGGAAAAGAATGAGATAAAATCGTCTGGCCTTTAAGGGCGGACGTGTCGGGAGCATCAATATTGCACCCGCTTGTCAATCATTCGAATGTAAAATAAATTCGGAAATATGTGAATAATTAAGGCCATAAAATTGACACGCATAGGCGAGAGCACGCCAAAAGCAGGTCCTTCATCTTATAAAATATTCAGGATCGTCTATAAATATTGACGAAAGTGCGTCCCGGCTTTTTTCGGGGAGTTTTATAACAAGTGTTTCCCTTTTGCATGCGGGGATCATATAACACGTTGATAAAAAATAACGCATTCTTTATCTAGGAGGAATGGGGGTTGCGAGCTAGCAAGAGGCTCGTCACTGGACCAAAGTGACCAAAAGTTCTAAAATTCAAATGTATAGGTTGGTTGAAAAATTTCAATGGTTGGTTTTTCAAAAATTCGTCAAAATTCGATTTTTTTTGTCATAACGACCATGTCGTGCGTTCTTATTTCTCCCATTTCCCCATTCTTAATTGAGTTTATTTTCTAAGACTTCGCCCCATTAGAAAAACGAAAGCCGCAAACTTGATTAAACTTTTTCGAGTCGGCTCCTTCCCCCGCCCGGCGTTAAGAATCTTGCAAAACATCCCCTCAGCGCGTGTGTACGTAGTCAAGAATGTTTGGCATGAAGCGAGCCCCACTCTAATTCTGTCCCTTTGATATTACGCGTCCCTAGCGCCAGGTCAAGCCACTAATAATGCGTCGCCGTTATCTTGATGTGCAGGGCCGTCCAGAGTAGAGAAGTGTAATAGTTTAATTGGATCCGGTGAATGGGGCCGCATAGGCCCGTCTGTCATGCCAGCAGCTCTTCTCGATAGCGCAGAGTGAACGCGGAGTGAGTGGCTTCCCTTAAACGGTGGTGCCCTCGGGGATTATACGTTATATCGCCCCAGACCGCCGCCACACGTCCTACACCTTACATTTTCACTTTGCAGTATATCGTCTTAATAGGTTAACGGGATCACAGCCCGAATATGGGATGGCTAAGGCACTAGCGTCTAGCATTCTTAACACATACGCCGTTTCGGCGATGACCCGCTCTGAAGGAGAGGATAATTGTTTTTATGGCGACGTAAAATAAGGCGAGATAAAGATGGGTAAGCGATAAAACGGCCGCGGGTGGGGGTTATGCGAATTATTAATCGACCAGCCTAAATTTTCCCGAAAAAAAATAGTTGTCGAGAGAAAAAAATACCACCTCTGGATTGCTTGGAAAATTCTAGCGTGCAAAGATGTGTCACACTTGGGCTCTATTTTCGACTTGAGTTTTCAAAATTTCGTCAAAATTTTAAAAATTGTCGTTGTCGTCGGGAAAAATCACCGTAGTTTGTGGTTTTTCGCTTTCAGTTCGTCAAAATTTCGCAATAATGTGGCTTCGGGCTCCCCGCTTTCGTCCAAAACAAACATGTCCATATTGCCTTTATTATCATCCCACTGAATAAATATCGGTGTCAACTAATGTTCTCCGGCTTCGGAATTTCATAAGCGCGGTTCATAAAGGTGGTAATCCGCTTTACCGCCTTTATGAACCGCTCGGGCTCGCCACGACCAAACATAATAGTTGGCAAAAATATAATACAACATTTAATTTTCAACGGCACGCATTTGAATTAAACGGACGCAACGCACCAAGAAATTCCACCCTTGTCCGGAAAAATCCAAAAATTTTGAACTCCGGGGTCAACGAACGGGCACGACACAGTTGCCCCTCGAAATCGTGCGTTTTTTCGAAAGTTGGCAAAAAACCCACGTTTAATGTGTTGCATAACCTCTCAGTTTTTAATAATTGAAGCGTATCTCTGGCTACCTGCTTAAATTTTTCAATCAGTGCAGCCGCCCCTCCGATCGCCCCCTCCCCACCCGAATAGTTCCTGCGGAGCCGCCCCTCCTCGCCGCAGGAATGTACGCATCTCACGAATCTCATATTAAAGCGTTGTGCAGAATTTGAAAGGCCATTCGCATTCACATTTAAATGAAGTCGACGCCGCTGCCAAATATATTATCTTTTTTCCTCGGTTCGATAGGGGATTAATCCTGTAAAAATTTAAACCGCAGTCGTTCTGTCAAAATTTTTACGCTCGACATAAAACCGTGACGTTCGCTAATCCAAGGACGTCGTCAAGGACGGGAGCGGCGGTTCCGAATCCCCGAGGCCCCCGAACTCCCGCATGCAAGCTAAACGTTGCGTAGGGGCTACTAGATTGAATTTTCTTATTTTATTTTTACACCCTCGCACCCTCTCGCCGCGCTACGCCCGCACTATACACCTAGCGACGGCGTCATCCACAAAGGAACGCCGAAAGCGAAAGTGGACGCCGGAACGCTTCGTCGCGCGCGTTATTTTATTAAGCGGGTGAGCACGATCTAAAGGAAAAAAGCCGGAAAAGCACCGAGTCGACCCTTCGAACTCGACAAACGTCTCAGGTGAAAGCGACACTATAAATACACGGCCGGACGCGGCGCCGGAATGGGCCGGTCTACTTTGCTTTTAAAAATAACGCCGACAAACGTCGATACGACAGTTGGCGCCCGCCGACTACACCTTTTTCGGACCACGCGGAACGTTCCAACCGAAATTACCACATTTACTTTCCAAAATTCGTCAAAAATCGACAAAAATCGCCAAAAATCGAAACTGACTAGTTGTCGCGCAGCGACAACCACATATTCGCACTAGTCAGACAATTTTAGCGCGAAACGATGGGTCACACTTCACCCCAATTCCGACTTTGACGGACCGAGACACCCGCCGTCACTTGCGAAAAATTTAACGAAATCGCGCTAAATTACACAGTTCGCTCCAGAATGAGTATCAAGTTGACACTAAACAAAAACGCTGTAAAAATGAGCCTAAAAATGGGTGTTTTTTACCCACAGGGGAACCCCAGGCAGTTGTCGCCCCCATATTCTTGTCAGTCGGGACGTGGTAGCGTGAAACAAGGTGCCACACTTGGGTCCAATTCCCCCACTTACTTTTCCAAAAATTCGTCAAAATTAGTCAAAATTCGCGATTCGCCATAACTCGATCTTGAAGTGTTGTCGCGGTATGATTCGGCCCCTTGGCGCTCGTTTAGCGCGTCCCCCGGCTTCCGCGTCGCTTGCAGCTTCCTGGCGGCTGACCCCGGCCCTTTTCGTCCTGTTAACCCAATAGCAATCCAAGGCGCGCGCGGGGCCGGCACTAAAACACAGTCATAAAAACACACAAACCAATTTAGCCGGTACAGTCTGCTGCCATCGCACCGCCGTGCCACCGCCACCAGCAGCGGCAGCAGGAGCACCTCGAACCTGCTTGCACCCCAGATTGGCCGCCGATTTAATTTCGGGAGCCCCGCTCGTCAATCTTTGCGATAGTTAATTTAGAAATTGCTATGTTCTCACTTTCGGAATCATCATAAAAGTTACAAATTAAACCGAAGCCGGCTGCTCTTCCCGCGTTCAGGAATTTACAGGACTGTAGCCAGGACTGAGAGCAAAATTTTAATTGCTGCCGTTTGCTTAATTAATTATATCGACGGGAGAGAGAAAAGAATGCGGACGGTGTTTAGGACCGAGGTTATTGCCGAATTTTAATAACGGCGACACTTGCGGCGGCCGGCCGGGGCGGAGGAGGAGGAGGCGAAGAGTGGGCACAGAGGCGAACGAAAAACACGAAAATGCACGATGCACGCATTTGATTACACTTTGATGACGAGATGCGGGTTTGTCCAACCAACGACATTTAAGAACACGAACAAAATTTCGAAATTTATTTTTCAAAAATTCGTCAAAATTCACGAAAACTCGAAAAGGCTACGTTGTTTACGAACAAGAACCCTTGCTACCACTTAGTTGGACAATTTCAGTGAGAAATGATGTGTCACAATGCATCTTTCAAGTCACAATTATTTTCCAAAAATTCGTCAAAATTCGCAAAAACTCAAAAACGGCACGTTGTTTAGGAACAAAACCACTTACTTTCACTTCGTTGGACGATTTTAGTGTGAAATGATGTTACAATTTATAACTGTTTTCCAAAAACTTCTGTTGGCCAGAGAAAAAACTCTCAGAACTTTTTTTTTATTCATAGTACGACTATTCAACAAAAAGTCAAGACAACTCCTTGAAAATATTTTTATTTTAATTGTTATGACAATATAATACAGCATACAATGTGGTGGAATTTCAGTGTGCATTAAATACGTAAGAAACAGAAAATATTACTTTTGGGGTGCCGCATAGTGTTTGATAAATCTGGCCGATGGGTCCGTCACTCCTTCCACCCATCTAGGCATCCAGTAATACGGGACAAACTTATCCGCAGCCCCAGGAAAACTTTTCTCGAAGACTTCTCTATAGTAGAGCGCTTCTTTACTCGTGGGAGTACAATGAGGATATTTTTGTTTAGTAACTAGGGGATCAAAAGGTTCCGGCATTCGTTTTTCGACAATATCTTGTAAAACTTGGAAAAGAGATTTTTTCTTGGAAGCTACGCCGTCACTACAAACAAACAAAAAAAAATAGAATGAAGCTCCCCAAACCTCAAACTTTTCCCTCACCTGAAAGCCTCTTTGTGTCTCCATAATATCCGGTCCGGCAACACCCCCATTTTATCGAAGGCCTTCCTCAGCATAAACTTCTCGACGCCGTCCTTCGGCTGTCTGAGCTTCTGGTCCAAACCCAAGTAGTAATCCGTGAACTGGAGGTCCAAAAATGGTACTCTCAGCTCCAGTTTGCTCGCCGCCGTCGTCCTGTCTGCCCGCAACCCGTCGAACAAGTAAATCTCCCGTAGTAACCTCACGCTGTCGTCGTGGGCGGCTTGCGGGTCAGGCGCGTCTCTGAAGTAGATGTAGCCCTGACAAACCTCATCGGCGCCTTCTCCGCTGAAGAGCACCGTCGTGTCCGTGTTCTCCACCACGTACCTCGACAACAAGTACATCGGAAGGGACGCCCGTACCGTCGTAATGTCGGGCGTCTCCAGCGAGTACACCACGTCGTCGAGCACGCGCGCCACGTCCTCTTCAGTGAACGTGACTACGTGGTGATCCGTACCCAGAAAATCGGCAACTTCGCGAGCGGCGCGAACATCAGGACTGTCGCTCATGCCGATGGAGAAGGTCTGGATGGTGTAAGGCAAATCGGCTTCTTTGGCGGCGCGCACCAGCAGCGAAGCGATAAGCGACGAGTCCAACCCCCCGGATAAAAAGCACCCGAGGCGGCGGTTCGCCATGAGGCGCTTCTTCACCGCCGAGGTTAACAGCGCCCGAATATTCTCGAACGGGTCGCTACCTAGCTCCTCATAGAGCACGAAGGGCTGGAACGAAGGACGATCCCCTGGAAGGTGGAAAATTTGGCTGCGCACTAGCTTGGCGCCGCCGTTCTCCAGAATATCGTACTCCTCGAAAGTCCCGGGGGTGAAGGGCTCAATCGTCTTCTTGTCACCGTTTTGCCCATTAGCCAAACCCACTAGACCTATAACACACAAACACCATCAGTCACATTGAAGCAAGCGCGGGTAAATGTCAACCTTTCGCTTCCGAGCACAGCCCCAGCATCCCACAGGACCCCGTCAGCTTAAAAACCGGCCTCACCCCATACGGGTCCCGCCCCACAAACACCTTCTGCTTCTCCATATCCACCAAAACGAACGCAAACACCCCATCTAAATTCTTGACGCATTCCTCGATTCCGTACTTGTGGTACAAGTGAGTGATGCATTCCACGTCGCAGAAGGTCTCATACTTAAAGCCGTGTTGCTTCTCCAGCTGCAATTACACCCAATAAAACCAAATTTGGCGCAATTACCAACCTACTTCTTTGCAGTTGTACAATTCACCGTTGCACAAGAGAATGGTCATGGGGAACTGGTGCAACTTCATGGGTTGCATGCCGTAAGTGCAGTCGACGATGGCCAGACGGTGGAAGCCGACGCAGCAGTTCTATAAACGACGAGATATAATTGATTGAGATAACCCCGGGGGTACTAACCTTAATTCGGTTATCTGTTTCCACGCGAGACGCGTCGGGGCCGCGGTGGGCTATCTTCATGAAGTTGTCGGAGCAGTCCTTCAGGAGCACGTTCCCGGCGCGGGGGTGGAAAAGGGCCCAGATTCCGCACACTGAAAATTGAAGTTGGCGCCTGAGTTTGACAGTGGCGGGAAAAGGGGTGCCAACCGAGCGACATGAATGCGGTGAAGGTCAATGCAATTGAAATGGATAAATTGAGTGCTATACAATTTTAATTAATAGGAGCAATGCATTTTCAAAAGTGACATTGGTGGCTTAAGTAAGCGATAAGGAAAATGTATTTTTCGTGATAAAAAAAATAAATTTGTTTTTTTTGTGCCAACTTGGCGACTTATAACACACTTGTTAATTTTTAAAAGCAGTCAAAGCATAAGAACAAGCAAAAAGACCACGGTGCTTAAAATTGTTATAATAATGGAATTTGGAGTGGTATTGCATCATTCAGTTAACCCCACAAAAGCGCGATAGCAGAAAAAATAATCAGTGCAAGGGAAAATAATGAATTAAACTCACTTGTTTTCTGGTATGTTTCGTATGTGGCAAGTCCTGCAACAGTGTTCTGAATCCTGCAAAAAGCAGCCTTTTATTCCTGCTGTCTGGAGTCAAGTGCCGCTGACACCGACCACGTGTAGATCTGCTTTTCCGGTCGGGTTCGGTCACGTTCGGCTGCATGATGCAACAGTGATAAGTTATTTAAAAGCCTGCAAAAATTAGCTAACTCGGTCAATTTTCCCCAACAATGCTGAAATTATTATGAATTATGAGAAAACGGATATTGTAGCTGTTTAGGAAACGCGGTTTTTAATTTCGAGTGACAGATGAGAAATTCAAGTCTTCCCTCGGGGTGAATTTTTGAACAACCACCGAATTTTTGTTTTCGGAAAAATCGGCGCTACAAAAGATTTCACGAGTTGTTAAGATAGTGAATAATGAATAAGAGATAATGTTTAAAAATACGTAAAAAAAACTATGAAAAATTTGCGCCGAAATAGAAAATTAGTTTAACATAGTTTGCTATGACGACGAAATGTCAAATTTTTATTTGCAATAAAACTGGTGTAAATTATTATCACGCTTCCGGTTATTATCAAAAATCCAAAGAACAAACACTTTGCAAGAAAACACAACTACGGGAAGCTGCTCAAGTCTGGAAAAAGAAAATTGTCCCTCCTGGGTGCGCACCGAAAAATTCCAGGTAGGTGAAAATCACACTAACCTAGAGTGTTGTGACGATTGTTACAAATTTGGTTTTATTCAAGAAAAAACCCTCACCCTGGGTTTATTCTCACAAAAAAAATGATATTTCTAGATAAAAACGCCCGGAAAATCCTTTAAAGTGCGAAAAACTAAAAAAAAAAACCCAAATCGATTTTAACGCGGTGTGCCGTGACGATTAGGTATATTAGTGAAAAAAAAAAATACCCAACTTTGAAACTAAAATTTTCCTCACATAAAACTTTTCCAAGCAGATACATTTTTTACGTCCAAACCTACTTGTGTTTGTGTAAAATGTCGGAAACCGAGAACCTTCAAAACCTCAAGCAAATTTCGTCCACAGTGAGTGAACGCGACCTAAAAATTTGGGAAAATGTGGCCCACAGCACATGTAAGTCGTCCGTCGATTTTGCAGCTTTTCCACAAAATTTTCCAGGTATCCAAAAACACACCGACAAGCTTAAAAGCGAGATAGCGCGAATGAAAGCCGCCGCCGTTGAAAAAAAGCAAGAAAATAGAATTCTGAAAGAGCAGTTGGCGGAACTCGAGCAGACTATAGCTATGTACGTACTGGTACTGGTGTCCCCAATAATTGTTCAACTGATTGTGTTTTCTTTAGTCAGAAGCAAACTCTGAGAACGAGCGAACGGTCCGTCGTTATAGAGACGACGTACAAAAATAGTCTTCTTCAAGAGGCGGCTGAATTTCAAAATTCGTACCACAAGACTTTGGAGATGTATGAAGATGAACTAAAGGAATATCGAGAGATGTACCAGAACGCGTCTCCGGGTTACAAGGAGCTGAAAACCCAGCAGACTGAATTGAAGAAACTCGAGGTTAAGAAGATGATGATGGATGCGAAAGTGGAGGGTTTGAAGAGAAGTCAGAAACAGTTTAGAGACATCCAGGAGCGGATTTTCTACACGACCATGGTGAAATTTGCACAATTTTATATTCTGTATCACGAGAGAGAAAAAACGCAACGACTAGTCGAACAAAGAAAAAAGGAAGAACAGGCGTTGTTAAGACAGCACATGCGATTGGCTGAAGCAGGTATTGTTTTTATTTTTGGAAAAAATATTTCATAATTCGTATTTTTGACACAGTGAAATTGAAAAAAATTGAATTTCAAAAACGAACAGCCGCGATTAATACATCCATCGACAACCCTCATCCAACTCGTGCTTCCAACGACACCGTCGACAAGTTACAGAAATTCCTCAACGAGGAAATTCTTCCTTGTAGTTTAACCCCAATCGATTGCACTTCGAGGGTTGTCACTAATCGAGATTACTCAAAAGTGAGGGTTCTGGACGACATCATTGTTAAACCGCTGTCTAGACCTCCTCCAGTCAGGAAACCCAACCCCGAGTTCAGAAAAAAAATGGAAGAGATAATGCAAGCAGCGAAGAACGAAATAAAAAGAAGCAACTCGTTTCAGTTCAGTCAAAAGTCGCTTTCTGTCCAAAGCACTCAGAAGAGCGCAACTCCGGCTGGAACACGGCAAAATCTAGACGCAGGACCGCAGATAGAAAATTCGCAACCGCAGAAATCTCAGATTAAGGCGAATTCACAGCCAACGTTACAACAACAATCGCAGATCAGGATGAGCTCAGAACAACAACAACAACAGCCACGGCTTAAGACGAATTTGCGCCCACAGAATCAACTGCAACCGGGTTTCACATTCCACGAGAGCCAACGTAGTGAAAGAGGAATAAGAAGTTCGCAGGAAAAGCTGACGCCAAAAATTCCTGAAGGAATTATTAAAAATCAAACTGAGAATAGTTCAATATTGAAACATCTCAGTCAGAATAATGTTGACATGATGGATAAACAAGGAAGTGTCTCGAAATTTTTTAATCCCATGAAAAAAACGGTGACGTTTCAAAGTGAAGTCAAAACGGTACCACAGCAGGGTGTGCAGTTTCAGCTGTTTGCGATGGAAGAAAAAAAAAGAGAACCTATGACAGCTGTTACAGATATGAACATTTTTCACAGACCCTTTAATTACGAGGACGAAACTACAAAGAAAGAGTCGTTTATGGAAACAGAGGTACGTAAACAAGTTTGGAGTAAAACAAAGAAAAATAAATGATTCGTAGAGCACGGCTGAAACAGGTAATACCACGAATAATGTAAGCTTCAGCGAGGCAACGGGACCTACGACCTTTAGCACCTACGGTGACGCCTCAGAAAAGAGAAATGGTAAAAAAGAAACTTTCCAAGATCGATTTAATTTATCATTTTTTTTTTAGAAGCAGTTTTCGACTTGGATACATCATTTAGTAAGTTCCGCTACGTCGAACTACATCCAGTCAACTTTTTCTTCCAGGTCGTAATTTTGGACAACCGCCTTTAAATCAAGCGACTGATGAAAACCCCAGCACCAGTTTCAATTTCTTACGTTCGCAAACTAAAAATAACCTTTTCGGTTTCTTTTAGGTGTTTTTGTTTATTCGTTTTGTTACTATGTCACTTATTACATCGTTCATTAAAAATCACCTGTGGGGATATTGTTCCACTTTTAATCATAACACACTTTCCGGAGATTTCGCTCATTTGTTTACAGTTAGCCAAGTCCGGTAGTTGCGATGCTGAAAACAGTCTCAATTTTGTTGGTAATATCTCTGGTGGCGTCTTACGAGCAGCGGCCGGGATTTGTCTTAACGGTGACCAAGTTATTCTGGAGCAATAGTAACAACGGCACCGTGAGCAAATTCCCACCAATCATCGAATTCTTCGTGCAGAGAATACAAAGCCTGAATTCCAATTACGTCTACGAGGACTTGAGCCGGCCGCCTACTTGGGAGAAACCAGTTTACACTCTAGCCCCCGAAGACTATCATCTGACCGCGAACCCCGAAAGTGTGACGCAGACGACAGCGGCGCCGACGACCACCACAACGGCGCCCACGACGACGCCCGATCCGTGGGAGTACGAAGAGCTGGAGGAAACGACCGAGAAATTCTTCGAAGTAATCACCGGAAGCGCTCCGCGTACGGCGTAAGGTAAGCCCAACGGGATCTGACGATAATTAATCGCCTGATGTCTCCAAATCGATCTCGTGTCGTATGCACGAGTTCCGTTATCGGCGGATGACCCGCATCGACACCCATTTTTTCACCTCTATTTTTATTCGCTTTTCACCAAATAAGAGGCTGACGATGCGCTCGGCATAGAGAATGGAGTTGCGTTCTTAGCACTTTCGATCGGAAGGAGTTAGTCTTTTTGCGGACGCACGATGAGGTGTTTTGTTCTTGTTGTGCTTTTGTGCTTTCACCAAGCGCTCGGAAGGTGGGTCTCGGCTTGTTGGAAATGTGACGCGATTGGTGTTTTTAGGTATGTTCCTGTGCTCGTCAACGTTCCGGCTAAACTCCCGAGGCAAGATTTCATCGGCAGCTGGATCCAGTCGTCCGAGTGGTTTCCCATCGAAATCAACATCCCGGACACGATTTCGGCCATCGGCAGTGGGTTATCGACGGGGTTCATGAATTTCAGCGACGCCTTCGGGAACTGGATTCAAGGGCTGCCGTTTTTTAACAGGTTCGTGGCACATTCTCCGCAGAAGCCGCACGCGCAGCATGTGTGGATGGTGCCGATGCCGGTGAGACGCGGTGCCCAATTCAACCCTTACGACGGGATGGACAACAATATAGTCCCCATGTACCCTTAATTAAAACACGTAGTGCCAAAAATTATTTATTTTGTAGAAAATTTATTCAATAAATTAATAACAAAAGATAGGTTTTAGACGACTAAGTAACCTGAGGCGCTCCTGGAAGACCTATCGAACTGTCCTTGTTGGAGCTGCTTCTCGAATTCGGCTTTGTTTGTCGCGTAGATGTCTTTTAAGTCGCCTTCGCGCTTCTGGATGGAACCGCCGTCTTTTTGCACGATGATACCCACGGGGTAATCGAAATTGTAGAAGAAGCCTTTGGGAGGGCCTTTTTCTTCTTCTTCTGGGTTCCATTTGCCCTCGGACTCGTCGCCGGAGTACTGACCGCTGGCGTCATGACTGCTGGTTTGGCTGCTAGTTTGGCTGCTACTGGTTGAGTATTTGCCACTGTATTGGCCACCGTATTGTCCACCACCGGAGGACTGGCTTCCACCGTACAATCCGCCGCTACCACCAGACTGGCCTCCACCATAGTAGCCGCCGCCGGAAGCTTGACCACCTCCATATTGTCCACCACCCGAAGACTGACTTCCGCCGTATTGCCCAGAACCCGATGGCCGGCTGCCACCAAACTGACCCGTGCCATATCCACTGCCTCCACCGGATGACCCTCCATACTGTCCACCAGATCCCGAAGACTGACTGCCACCGAATTGCCCACTTCCAGCTCCGGAGTGGCTTCCTGAAGACTGACCACCACCGTATTGTCCACCGCCAAATTGTCCACTCCCAGAGGGCCGGCTTCCACCACCGTATTGGCCACTGCTACTTCCAGCTCCGGAGTGGCTTCCTGAAGACTGACCACCCCCGTATTGTCCACCTCCAGGCGCTCCGCTACCAAACTGTCCACTTCCAGAGGGTCTACTTCCAAACTGAGCGCCTCCACCACCGAATTGTCCACCGCCAGTCGCTCCACCACCATATTGTCCAGTTCCAGATGCTCCTCCACCATATTGTCCACTTGCAGACGCCCCGCTACCAGACTGTCCAGTTCCAGTTGCTCCACCACCATATTGTCCACTTCCAGAAGACCCACCGCCATACTGACCACTTCCAAACGCCCCACCACCAGACTGTCCAGTTCCAGTTGCCCCACCACCATATTGGCCACTTCCAGAAGAGCCACCGCCATGTTGTCCACTTCCAAATGCCCCGCCGCCAGACTGTCCAGTTCCAGTTGCTCCACCACCATACTGTCCACTTCCAGACGCTCCACCGCCATGTTGTCCACTTCCAAATGCCCCGCCGCCAGACTGTCCAGTTCCAGACGCTCCACCACCATATTGTCCACCCCCAGACGCTCCGCCGCCATATTGCCCACTTCCCGAAGGTCGGCTTCCAAATTGGGCGCCTGCACCACCTCCCGACTGGCCACCGCCATATTGTCCGCCTCCGAACTGAGAACCCCCTACTCCACCGGGTTGATATTTGCTAACAGTCTGGGACGACTGACTTTGATAATGGACATTTTGACCAGGATTGGGAAACTGATTTTTTTGCTGACCATACTGATTGACTAGCTGTTGAGCTTGAGCTTGGCCTTGAGGGGATAAAGGTCCTTGAGCGTAATTGAAGTTACTGTCGTAAGGATTCCTGACGAAAAAAATACGATCATTGGTTTTACTAAAGTTAAATTTCTTCACGTGGTAATGAAAATTTTTCAGAAACCAACTAAATCGTACAACAAAATCTCGGTACGTATTTTGCATATTTTAGTAAAATTTTAGTGTAATTAGTTAATCTATATTCTCAAAAAAAAAGTTAGTTATATATTTTACATAATTATTTTAAACAATCCGAAAAAATGTATACCTGGTTGCATAACTTCGGGATTTATTTTGAAATATTCATCACCATTTATTTAAAAATAATTCAAATTATTAAAGACGAAACAGCATAACTTACTCTATCGGCTTGGAGTTCCTCTCCGCCTGCTCATTCCATATCCTCTGGTGCTCCTCCTTGGCCGCCTTCACCTCGGGCGTATCGTCGATCTGCTGAGGCAGAACCTTAGGGACGTTATCCACCTGATGGAAGCCGCTACCATCGTCCCAGTACTCCACCTGCACCCAACAGTCATCACCCCATCTAAACCAAAACCTACTCACCTACCTTAATCTCCTGGCCATTTCCAGCGATGTAATTGTACGCCCCTCTCAAGTCGCCGCCGGCCTTCTTCTTCTCGGTCTTGGCGATATCGGGCACCGAGTACCCATACAAGTACCCCCCGAGGCCATCTTGCCCGTGGTACTGGTTCGCCAGATAAATATCCTCCAGCACGTTATGGGGTTCCTTTCCCAGAACCCTCACCGCAGGCACATTGGACTCGATTTTCGGCGCATATTTCAGGCTTGTGTCCTGTTTGTCGATGTATTGCTGCGCCTCCGGGGGGTCCAGATTGAGCAATCGCACTTCTTCGCTATAAGCGCAGTGTAAAGCGCCGAGGAAAGCAATCTAAAACCCCGAAAATGTCAAGTTCGCGAAATATCCGAGCGTAATCAGGAAGGAATAATTAGGGGTCATTACCGAAAAAACTTACCACAGACACGGGGATCCTCATGGCACTATCACGTCTCAACTACTTAAATATAAATTAACAAATAATTCGAGTTTCGTAATCTTGTGCTTTTATACGTGCTAAATCCGTAATCTTCCCTCTCCGCGAAGATGAGCCACCAGCGGTGCTCAAAATGTGCCGTTCCAGAATCGACGCTAATTATGCTTATTTTTAGTAAACACGTTCTATATTTGCCGATTACTTGTTGGCGATTATTACAACAGGATTTGCATTTGTTTGATTCATAACTGCGTAATTTTTGTAAGTTGTGGATGCGGCATTGAGATGAGCAAGTGAGAACATTTTTAACCTTCAGGTAATTGCAAACTGGTTGGACTATAATAGCCAATGAATGTACACTGTAAAATTTTATTGTTGTCATAAAGAGCTAATTTATTGACGAAGCAGTCCACTATTTTCTGGGTAAAACATATAACAATGTAGGTCTAATAGGGTATCAAACGGAGACGTTTATTAAAAAAATTCTGACCGTAATGTTAGTTTTTTTTGGGATCTAATTTAAAAAGATGTGTAAATTTGGTAGCTGGTTTTTCCAGCTATTGTTGTTTACTTAATTTGGTGATAAAGATCGCCAAAAATGTGCACAGCACGATAAGTTAATTAAGCGAGGTAATTAAATTAGAATGAGATTTCCAGAAATTGTTGTTTAATCAATGCTTGCAAATGCATGAATAACTTTGTTTGTTTCATGGTTAAGTGACTAATTTTCATTATCATTAGAATCGGTGTTCTATGAGCTGTGTTTGACGTCGTTCACTACTCTTTACCTCTTCTTTTTATTTAATTTAACATAATTAATTTATTTTCGAAACTTTCGGACGTTTTGGCGTTGCAGAATTGAATGGTAAAAATGCCCAACAAGACAGAGTCTTGGTTTGCTTATTTATTTTAAATCAAAATTTCGATACTACGTAGAATATATAGATGTTCAAAAAGATTCTCTTTTGAAATGGAATGTACATCCGGGAACGTGCGGCGCAGTTGCTCAACTTTTATTATTTATTTGGTGATATTTTTGTCGTCATTTGTGCATTTTTTAGTAGTCAAAATTTAAATTAAAAAAGTGAATTTATAATGTGATAAAAATATTTTTATTCAGACAAAAGTGCAACTATTTTTGAAAAATTCGTCACAATTTATTAAAGAGAAAAGCAAACAAATAAATTTGTTGTCACTTCCGTCTAACTTAACTGTTCCACCGCTCACACGTAAACCGCATGGTTACTCGATTTCGCTAATTAAGCAATTAATCATCTCATCACGCCGTCGGAAATCGTGCCATTTATTATCCCTGGGAAAAAAGTACTAATAACAGGGCTGCCCAGAACGTGATCGCTATTCCCACACAATAAACGAACATCACCCAATAATTTATCCATTTACGAATACGTAATATATTCAGAATATTAAGCGGTTCCGGGATATATTTTTTGATTTAAAGAAATCTCGCCCGACCTTGGAATTGGTCACTTTAATGTATATCCGAGACTGATGGGTTCGTTTTTTGTCCCCTCCATTAAAAGCCGTTGTCTTTTGCGCTTTGTCTCGGACCAGGAGTCTCCAAAATTTTCTAAAAAAAAAAACGAAACTCGTTTTCCAAATTTTCCACACGAAATCCGATCCCGAACAATCCGCTACTGTTCTTGACAGCCCAATAAAATGGACTCCTGCTTTGTAAAAAAATCCAATTAAAATCGTTTGTTGATTGAGCCGTGATGATGCTATCCGAATTTTCGGTAAACAGATGAATTCATTTGTTAAAACCCGTTCCGTCATTATGCAAAAACAATTATTTTCGCGATAAATCAAGCGCGATCGGATGAAATAATTTTCAGCGAATTACGCGGCGCTGAATTTATTAAAAATGAAATTAAACGCGGATGCGTCATTGGAAAATTGAGGCTTCTGCCGGCCGCTAATTCACCTGTTCAGCCGTGACCGCATAGGTCAAGGGCGCCCCAACTCCATAATTCATCCCATTACCATGAAAACGCTTTTTTCCTCTCGAAATCGAACGTGTGTCACTTTAAATTCCCGTAATGGGCAATTCGTTTTTTTGCCAGAGATGCGATATCGAAAAATTTCAGTTGTCCAAAGATTGCGCCGACCAGCTCCTAAATGGTAAAAGCGAATTTATGCTAATCGAACGCTAATCTCGCATTCCAGACGATTCCGAAAACCAAACGTCCGCTGAGAACCGCTGGAAGGAAAAATTAAAGTGCCTGGATGACGCTCATAGCAAGCAGTACGGGTTAACGGTAGAAAATTTCAACAAGCTCTTTACGGATTTACAAGAGACAATGGAAGTTAAGAAAGTAACTGTTTATTGCAGAAATAGGGACCTGGTAAGTGGGTGATTGGAAAATTCAACCGACTAACAAATTTGAAGGTGATAGAATGTCTTCGCAAAAACACTCACTGCTCGTTAAATTGTCAGCGCGAAATAAACGACTTCATCGAATGCGTAGACACTGTCAGAGTCAGAAAAATCAAAGAACAAATCCGAGAATCCATGAAACAGAAACGACCCAACACGGACACACTCTTCACCTAACTATCGCCTTTCCAAATTCTTAAACTTCGCCTCTAGTCTTTTTGAATAAACGTCCAGTTTGTAAGCCGCTTGTTCTAATTTCAGGACGCTGTCTTCGATTTGGTCGATTTGCTGCAAGTAGGGCTGCAGGGAGGTGTCTGAAATTCACCAATCAGTCGGTGCTTGCTAACCCCTACGTTAGTTACATTTCTCGTTCAGCTCGTGCATGCTTTTAGCCACGTTGGCCGCTATGTGTTTCATGTCCGAGTACTTGGTGATGGTGGTGCGATTCATGTTTTCAAGCAAGCGATAATCGTCGAGAGACGCAGTCAGCTCCCCGTACAAATAGTCAGAAGTTTTGTTGAACATGGTAGTAGCTAGACGACTCAGATTCGGGTCGTGGGGATCCAGAGCCTCGAAGCTCGAAGTCGACGTGGACAGAGTCGGACCTAAACGGGTTATCTTTATCGGGGTCGCAACCACAGACGTTTACCTTTTTTGGGAGAGTCCGTCACACCCTCTGAGTCCACTTCTTCAGCCATTTCTGCGTTTTTGCGATTTTTGCAGACACTACATAACCTCAAACGTCACTCATTGATTGATTTTCGTGGTGAATGGTGTATTCTTGGTTGCATAACCTCTACAAACATGGTTGCCTACCCGACGATTGGCATTCCTGTCCCCCTAGACTTGACACAAAAACAAATAAACGTCAATTCGCTATTAGTCATCATTGTGAAAACACCGTTGTGACGTCCAGATGTTTTTTTCCTGAAACAAACACGACCCGTGACAATGTTGGCCCCAGAGGCAGGCTCCACTAACAGTCCCGAACCCGCCGACAAGACGCCGCTCGTGGGACGCAACCCCGGCCTTTTCAGAAAAATCGCAGGAATGCTGTCCCCGAGACACCCTCAAGCCTCCGATGCGGGCCCCACGTACGTAGAGTTCGGTTCGTTCGCCGAGCAGTCCGAGACCCGTACCCTGGGGACGTTCGCGGGGGTGTTCAGCCCCGTGACCTTGTCCATGTTCTCCGCCTTAATCTTCCTTCGGATCGGTAAGTACGGATTTATCTCTTATCTCATAATCGTTGATTGATCGTAGGATACATCGTCGGAAATGCGGGATTATTTGTGACGCTGCTGCAGTTCTTTATCGCCTACTTGATTCTGGTCTTTACGGTGTCGTCGATTTGTGCGATCTCGACGAATGGGGCCGTGGAAGGGGGAGGGGCTTACTGTATCCTTTTTAACAAGACAATTACATTAGGCAGAGGTGTATTGACCAAAAATTATTATCATGTGTAATAGAAACCTCTACACCTCTGGGTTTTTTTGTAATCACGTGTGGTCGCTTAACAATCACAGTTATGATAAGCCGCACGCTTGGCCCGGAATTCGGCGGTTCGATCGGCACGCTGTTCTTCCTAGCCAATATCGTCAGCAGCGCTCTGTGTATATCAGGGTGCGTTGAAGGACTGGTGGAAAACTTCGGCCCTTCTGGATATTTAGTCAAGGGCTTGATCCAGGACGGACACTGGTGGCAGTTTCTCTACTGCGTCAGCTTGAATACCCTAAACCTTCTAGTTTGTCTAATCGGAGCTTCCATGTTCGCAAAAACCACGGTCTTCATTTTAGCGATCGTGTGTACCTGTCTGGGGATCACCTTTTTCAGTTTCTTGTACGAGGGATCACTGGAAGTGCCAGTACCGGACTCGAACACTTTAATTCAAAACTCGACGTTCCACGCGTACGGGAACTACACCGGCTTCCATGCGTATACTCTGCTACACAATTTTTGGCCCCAATATGGAAAAGACTACACCGCAAATGGCGAACTGGTCACGTTTGCGTCGGTTTTCGGAGTCCTGTTTTCAGGTGTCACGGGAATCATGGCCGGGGCTAACATGAGCGGTGGGTATTTTAAGGTTATGTTTTTGTTTAGTCCCGCCTCTTTTAAATTGGCCAATCAGATGCGATAACTCGGTATATGGTTTCATGGTTTCGTGGTTTCAGGGGAGCTGAAAAACCCAGGCAAGTCGATCCCGAGGGGCACCTTATCAGCTGTAGGCTTCACTCTCATCGTCTACGTCACTATTTCTCTGTTCACCGCTTTCACGTGCACGGCCGACTTGATGCAAAACAACTACCTTTTCATGGCTGGAGTGAGCGTTTTCCCTCCGAGTGTGGCTATTGGTTTATTAACAGCCACGTGGTCTGCGGCTCTCAGCAACGTCATCGGCGGCTCGCGAGTCCTGGAAGCCCTAGCAAAAGACAACGTTTTCGGTTCGTACTTCCAGCACCACTTTGACGACTCTGGAACACGATTTTTTTCAGGCCCGGTCCTGTCTTTCATCCCTCGAGGTACTTGGAAGGGTAACCCCGTGGCAGCCGTCTTCGTTTCGTGGGTCCTCGTCCAACTGGTCCTTTTCATAGGTTCCTTGAACATAATCGCCCAACTTAACTCCGTTCTTTTCCTACTCAGCTACTTAGCGACGAATCTAGCGTGTCTAGGACTGGAGCTAGCCAGCGCCCCTAATTTCCGCCCTTCGTTCAAGTACTTCACGTGGCATACGGCCTTCTTGGGGTTGATCGGTACTCTGATTATGATGTTCGTGATTAACCCCATTTACGCCGCCTGCAGCATCCTCCTCTGTCTCCTTCTGGTGATGTTCTTGCACTTGTTCTCCCCGTCGAAGAAGGCGCACTGGGGGAGCATCTCCCAAGCTTTGATTTTCCACCAAGTCAGGAAATATCTGCTGCTTTTGGATTCGCGAAAGGACCACGTTAAATTCTGGAGACCGCAGGTGTTGCTGTTGGTGAATAGCCCCCGATCGGCGTGCCCTCTCATCGATTTTATCAACGACTTGAAGAAAGGGGGGTTGTACGTGTTGGGGCACGTAGTCAAAGAAGACCCGAACCACCTCGGGCCTGATCCTACCCTGGACATGCAGCTGCACTGGCTGAACCTGATTGACCACTTGAAGGTTAAAGCTTTCGTGGAACTGACTGTGGCTCCGAGCGTCAGGGACGGCTTAAGACATTTAGCCAGACTTTCGGGAATGGGGGCGATGAAACCCAATACTGTGGTTTTGGGCTTCTTGGACGGGGAATGTCAACAGGACTTCCTGCAAAGCAGCGACTCCTCCTATCACAGTCAGGACTTCGGAAACGATATTTTCCCGCTGAATTCATTCAGCGCGTTGGAGCCGTTGGAGTACGTCCAAATGATGGCTGACGTACTCAAGATGAACAAAAACCTCTGCTTGTGTAGGAACTTCTCCAAACTGAAGAAGGACACGAGAAGGTAAATTGTGTATAGTGTAACGGTTACAATTCGCCGTTGACAAGATTCATCTATACTTATATAATAAAGCTGAAGCTTTTGTTTATTTGAACACGCTTATCTCAGAAACTACTGGTTCAAATTCAAAAAATCTTTTTGTGTTGGATAGTCCATGTATGATATCTACATATAGGCTATATAACATCACGCTACGATCATTAGGAGCGAAGTAGCAAGGAAAAGTTCGGAAAAACGGGAAAATTATTCCTCCTTTGAGAGCTTCCGTTGCTTACGCTGCTTAAACGGTTAAAGTTACGTAAAAATCATGTATGACGAAATTGTTCCCCTCTAAAAGTTCTAAAGAAAAGTCCGCGACAGCATATGTCTATCTTTTAAGGTCGAGTCAGTATAACCTTTTTTATGGTAATGAAATTTGTTCTAAAATAATAATGCATTATGTATAAAATTGTCGCGTCACAGTGTTTGTAACCGAACTTCTCCGAAATGGGTTGACCGATTTGTATGAAATTTTTTATATATATTCGGTAGGTCTGATAATAGGATGTAAACTATTTTTTAAACCCCTAAGTGATAAGGGTGGCCCACCCTAAAAAATTTTTGTCTATTTTTTGGACAACATTTTTTATTTTTATTTTTTTAAGATTTGGCATCAAAAAATACACATAACCCTAAATTTTCACCTTTCTACCACCAACCCCCATTTTTTAATCGTCTATAAAATAAAAATTAATTGCTGTTACTGTTAGTCTCGCTAAGACTCAAAAACGGCTTGACCGATTTGAAAAATTTTTTATATTACGGGGATGGTTTATAAATAAAAAAAATAAGGATAACTTAAAAGAACAGTAAAAAAATAAAAAATTCTAAAAATGTTTTATGGGAATCGCCACTTCGAATTAATTAGGAAATAGTTGGCGTTTCTGACGGACCTGTCGTCTAACTGACGTGTCACACAAAACTAATTCTTCCGTGCGATTGTGAAAAGTATATTGCATTTCAAATCGTTCTTTGTTTTTTCGTAAAAAAAAAACGTCGTTTATTTTAAGAAAAGTCTTGGTTAAAGTGAATTTAATTACACATTGCGAAAGTTTCTTATTCATTTTGATCTGCCATTCTATTTACCTATATTCACTTTGTTGGTTTCGACAAAACCTCAAACTTTACCGTTATTCGAGGATTTAATTTGAAGTTTTCAATATTTTAAAATTCTCAAGACAAAATTTACAGATTTGATTGACTGTGAAAATAATTCTGTGTCGTTTTATGAAATTCATTAAAATGCCGAGAAGACGACAAGCTCACATAGGTCCACGAAGTCAATCAAATGTGCGACGAACTACCTCAGGTGCAAACCGCAATGATTTATTTCATGGGTAATTCGGATATGGAAGTTGATCAGCGTTGTGCTCATAATCAACATAATCAAACATTGAAGCGAGACATTGGGTGGTATGAATAAAACTGAGTAGATACTCATATTCGAAGTACGAAGTACCTACTTCATTATTATTCTTATATACCTGAGCATCTACTCTATGTACTGAGTACCTATTTGGAAACATTGTATCTCCCCGGACACAAACTGAACATTGAGCGTTTTATGAGCATTTAATCTAGAAATCGAGAAATGAGCTGTCTGTAAAGCAGCTTCGAAAACCAGTAGGATCGTTGTAAGAGTGAATTTTAACTAAATATGGTGACTTTCATGAACGTGGAACGTCGTCAAAAGGTGCATTCAGTTTGAAAAACACATTAGGAGCAGGAATATCGAAAACTTTTCATGTAATTAACTTTTATTTATGCATAAATTGTGCAGTGCGTTTTTTCTAACACTGGCCATAGAGATTGCCATCTCAAGGTGTCTACCCCGTACTAACTTATATTTTGGTGACTCGATTTTTGCCTTGATGGTTGAACACTGTCACTGTTGTCCTTTTTTGTTGTATCGAGATGCTACTTGAGCATCAACTGTTACTTACTGAAGTATTAGTATCATCTAGAAAAACTAGAAATATTTTGATTTGATATTCGAGTAGATACTTCGTATTTCGAGTATGAGCATCTACTGAGTTTTATTTATATCAACCATTGTCAAAAAATTGATCGAACGTTGTTTCGACAGAACTTCCTTCGCACCAAAAGTATAATGAAACATATTCAGCATTTTCGAGTTGAGTCTTTTCTTCACACAATTTTGTGATGACCTAATCAACATTTACTATCAACACGTATACCACCTTGGATTGGTGCAGTGTAATCTAAAAATAACTGTGTTGTATTCCCAAAATTATCTGCGAAAATCGAGTGAGCCATTCCATCAATTTTTTGGGGGGAATAAATAAATACTCTTAACAATTTACCATGCTTACAATAACTTTAAAACGTCTGTAAGATCTCAAAGCATTCATTTGTGCAACTCTTGAGTTATTCACTAAAATAAATTGACTGATCCATATATTTTTTTGGGTCACTGGAAAAGCAAATCTAAAAAATATGAATGCAATGATAAATTACGAAAATATACTGATGATATTTTCCACATTTTAGATAGGATTTATTCGGCAAAATCTTGAGATGACGTCTTCAAGTTTTTGGGCTTGATAAACAGATATATTTTGATTGAAAACCTAGCATGTCAAACACTAACTTCAAAACGTCTGCAATATTTCAAAATTCAGTTTTGCAATTCTTGATTCAATCAATAAAATAAATTGACTCAGTGATTAATTTTTTTGAGACACCCCCTATAAGCAAAACTAAAAAATATGAATGGAATGATAAATCACAAGTATAGTCTCATCCTATTTTGGACATTTTAGATAGGATTCATTCGGCAAAATTTTGGGCTGACGTCATCAATTTTTTGGAGGGGATAAGTAAATATATTTTGAATAAAAATTTATTATGCTTATCATATGTTTAAAACATCTGCAAGATATCAAAGCATTCGATTTTGCAGATTCAAAATTAATTAAATTGTAGGTGAAACGAAGTTCACGGGGTCAGCTAGTACAGAATAAATTGTTGTTGTAGAAACTGGAGCAAAAAATACATTGACGTGTGGCCGATCAACTTCTTGAACCCTGGCGAAGGCGACGCTTTCGACACGACTTCCTTGTTCATGATGCAGTTAGCGTGCATCGTGAACATGGTGCCTCTATGGAGTCGCCTGAAACTACGGGTGTGCATATGCGACGAAGCTAAACAGACTTGCTTCAGCATGAACTCCAACGGACAGAGCCACGTTGACAAATTGCACTACTTGTTGAGGAAGCTGAGGATCGCGGCAACGCTGTATCCCGTCCCGGGATGGAACAACGTGATCGAATCCCACGGGAACCACATGGAAACGTACTTAAAAAGGTAACCAGAATGGCGTTTCCCGCCCAGAAGCGAATTTCGATTCGTCTATCGATTGAGCGGCAGACGCTGCTAGAATTTATGTTTCATGACATTTATTTCCAGCGTTAATAACCTAATCTTACAACAAACTTCCGATACCGTGGTGACGTTTATTTATTTGCCGCCGCCGCCGGTGGACGAGGGGCTGGCCGAAGCCTACTACCAGAAGTTGGACGTCATTTCGAGGAATTTGCCGCCGACGATGTTTGTTCATGGTGTTAGCACCGTGACCTCGACGACGCTATGATTGTTTTTATTTAGCCAATAATTAAGCACAAATTGATATTTTTATACAATTATACACTTTAACATATCGTATATTGCCTTGAACTAAGAGTACTGTGATTTTATGTAAGATAATAAATGGAAGTATTGTAAACTGTGATTAAGGGGCCCGAACGAGGTGGAGTACGCTCCTGTCTTGACAATTTAGTGTGACGTAAAGCAGTGTGCGCACGCGTGCCACGACAAAATCCCCGGCCGCTAACCACACTTCCAGCTGTCACCTTTTTTAAAAAAAAGTCCGAAAATGGCTGTGGAAAACTCCGACAAATTCGACTTAAACGCTGTGGAAAAGAGTTTTAATCTGGCAATACTCGAAGAAGACGATGTCCACCTGGAGCACTACCTCAAAAGTTACGAAGAACTTAACAAGTGAGTCACCCTTTGTGTTCATTCGACGTCTACAATTTAATTATTTCAAGGTTTTTCAACTTAATGGGGACAGTCTTCGGATTCGTGAGCAAAGATCTAAAGTCCAAAATGGATACATTGTCGGAGTTTCTCGCCAACGAGAAAACATCGGACAACTTTCAAAGCGTGAAAAAGATGATGGAGTACGAGCGCGACAACCAACTCCTCCATAAAAAGGGGTACACGTCCGGTAGCCGCACTTTACTGCGGTTGCATCGGGGCTTAGGTACGCCTTCAGCTGCAAAACGTACAAAATAACGTTGTCTTTGCAGACTTTATTCGGCTGTTTTTGAAAAAAGTGGGCGACTTAAAAGACGAGGACAACACGGGCACTGTTTGTCGCGAAGCGTACGACAGCACGCTTGCGAAGTTCCACCCGTTTGTGATACGAAAAGGGGCGCAAATCGCCATGTATACGTTACCGACGCGAGAACAGCTGCTCAGGAAGGTTTGCGGTAATGAAGAAGACGTGAAAGTGGCCCTGGAAATGTTACCAAAGACTTTGGAAGCTACTGATGCGGTGTATGTGCGTATAGAAGCTTTGTATACTTTGTATGATCTCCACAGCTTGCCGTAAGACAACCAGAGGGTATTTTCCATACATTCCTGCTTATGTAATGCGTAAAACGTGTGCAATTCCATTTTTTACCGAGGGCTATTTATTAAACTGTGTGTTTAAAAATGATAATTAAGCGGTGTACGCAATACGCCAAGTCAATGACGTAACCTTTTGTGGCCTTGTTGATAGTTTATTTGTTATTTATTTCACTAGCTTTGTCGGAACGTGCGTCGTGGGCACATTTTAGTATTTAAGCGCATAACAATGAGCGTCGCATTTGACTGCGTCACGGTCTACCGATTTCAATAATTGTAATTTAGTCGAAATTCAATAAAAACAAAAACAAAAAAATGTTTTATTCAATAGGTTATTGATGAACTACGTGGGATGGCTAAAGTAATGTTGCTGTGATTTGACAAAAATTGGTAAGCGGAGAAAGATAAGCTTCTCCGTAGTCTAGTGGTAAGGGCACCCACCCGGCAAGCGGTAAACGTCTGATTCGATTCCCACCGGAGAAGCAAGATTTTTCTTCATTTACCTACATTATGTTTTAATCATTCTTTTCGTTTTTCTATTTTGAAAGGAGAATTCTCGATTTTTCCAAGAAACAAAGCTTATTGAATTGGACACTTGGTTTCAGTTTTCTATACATTTAATAATATGTAAAAATGAACTCAAAAAAATTTTGAATGACGCAATTTATTTTCATAAGCAAATCAAGAACGACTCACTTCATTTTTCCCCAAAATTTGGGAACAAAATACTGCTATTATTAGAGTTACACTGCATAAATAATAATAAATTGCATTTCGTCTTTTAAACATGTTTTAAGTTTCTTATTGTGAAAAGAAGACTACAAATATTATGAAAAAAACAGCAAATTATAAGCCCCACCCACCCACCCTGTCTCAATTGTGATGAGGGAAGAGGGTGGAGCTTAATTTCAAAATCTTTGTTTCTCTTTTGAACAATATGATGATACTTAAAACATGTTTCCGTGAAAAATTCAACACAACTGAGATAAAATTTTACCTTTTTTCTAGATATATGTAATGATCTTTAAGATATTTAAAACGTTAAAAATGGAAAACATTTTGTTTTTGGAAACATCGATTTTACAGTTAAAGCTCCTCCGGTCCGACAACCAATGAAAAATTCATCACATTTGAGATTGGGGTGGGTGGGCGGGGCTTAATTTTTGACTTGTTTTCTCTTAACATATATAGTTTCTTGTAGAAACACAAGAATTTTACAAATAAGCTCCGGCTCTCAGCTCACGACGAATAAAAACAGTTATCACAATTGAGAAAGGGGTGGGTGGGCGGGGTTTGTATTTAGATTTTTCTATTTTTCAATTTTTGGCGTTTTCGACTTTCAGAATTTTTGGTTTTTCCGTTTTTCGATGTTTCAGATTTTCAAACCGAATATAAGTAAGTTTAATTTTGCAATTTTTTTTCTTCCATAAAGTTGAAAAAATGTTAATGCACTGATTTTTCAGTTTTTTAAATTTCACGTTTTTCCACGATTCGTTTTTATTTTTTGATATTTGTATTTCTCGTTTTTTTTATTTATTATTTTCAATTTTTCCAATTTTCGATTTCTCGGTTTTTATTTCAGTTTTTCGAATTTTTGAGTTTTTAAATTTTACATTTTTCGATGTTTAAGTTTTTTGATTTGAAGATTTTTGGTGTTTCGACTTCTCGATTTTTAGTTTTTTAATGCTTCATTTTTGCGAATTTTCGATTTCTCGACATTTCTTTTGAATTTTGGTGTTCGATTTTCCGACTTCTTAATTTCTGATTATTTAAATTTTTCGATTTTTTGTTTTTTTTTTTGAATTTGGAGTTTTTTCGATTCTTAAAATTTTTGATTTTACAATTTCTTATTTTCCGATTTCTTTTTTGATTTTTCAGTTATTCAATTTTTCGATTTTTTAAATTTTATGTTTTTCAGTGTTTCAATTTTTTAATTTTGCGAATTTTTAAGTTCTTATTATTTGGAGTATTCGAATTTCGGATTTTTTGATGTTACGATTTTACGATTTTTAATTTCTTATTCTTTTTGATGTTTCGATTTCCCGATCTTTAAATTATTTATTTTTTTATTATTTCGATTTTTCGAATTTCCGACTTCTCGAGATTCTCTTAATTTTTCAGTTTTCAATTTTTGGTTTTTTTAAATTTTACATTTTTTCGTGTATTAAATTTTTCGATTGTACTTTTTTGATGTTTTGGTTTTACAATTTTTTAATTTCTTATTATTTCGATTTTTCGAATTACCAGTTTTTTTTTTTGATTTATCAGTTTTTCGAATTTTTTATTGTTTCAGCTTTCGATTTCTCGACATTCTCTTTTGATTTCTCAGTTCTTCAAAGTTGATTTTTCGATTTTTTTAAATGGAACATTTTTTCGTGTGTTAAATTTTTTAATTTTACGATTTTTTGATTTCCTGATATTTAAATTATTAATTTTTTCAATTTCAATTACCATTTTTGGATTTTTAGATTTCTTGCTATTCTCTTTTGATTTTTCACTGCTTCTATTTTTCGATTTTTTAAATTTTATATTTTTGAGTGTTTCAATTTTTTTATTTTACTATTGTTTGAGTTTTGATTTTGCGAATTTTTAAGTTCTTATTATTTCCATTTTTCGAATTTCATATTTTTTTGATGTTACGATTTTACGATTTTTAATTTCTTATTCATTCGATTTCTCGACATTATCTTTTGATTTTTCAGTTTTTCAATTTTTTAATTTTTACATTTATCTATGTTTCAATTTTTTGATTTTACGATGTTTTAATGTTTCCATTTTCCAACTTTGTATTTTTTTATTGTTTCAATTTTTGGAATTTTCGATTTCTCGACATTCTCTTTTAAATTCTCAGTGCTTCGATTTTTCGATTTTTTAAATTTAACATTTTTTCGACCAATTTACTCGTTTTTTTTTTATTAATCAGTTTTTCAAATGTTTCATTGTTTTTATTTACGATGTTTCCATTTCCCAGTTTTTTATTGTTTCAATTTTTCCAACTTTAGTTTTCTTGACATTCTCATTTAATTTCTCAGTTCTTCAATTTTTCGATTTTTTAAATGTAACATTTTTTCATGTGCTCAATTTTTTAATTTTACGATTTTTTGATTTCCTGATTTTTTAATAATTTATTTTTAAAGTTTTTCCATTGTCCGAATTTCCAATTTGTCGATATTCTCTTTTAATTTTTCTTTTTATCTATTTTTCGATTTTTTTAAATTTTATATTTTTCAGTGTTTCAATTTTTTAAATTTACAATTTTTTGATATTTCGATTTTGAGAATTTTTAAGTTCTTATTACTTCGATTTTTCGAATTTCGGATTTTTTGATGTTACGATTTTATGAATTTTTAATTTCTTATTAATTCGATTTCTCGACATTATCTTTTGATTTTTCAGTTTTTCAATTTTTTAATTTTTACATTTTTCTATGTTTCAATTTTTTTATTTTACGATGTTTTAATGTTTCCATTTTCCTACTTTTTGTTTTTTTATTGTTTCAATTTTTGGAATTTTCGATTTTCTAAATTTAACATTTTTTCGTATGTTCAATTTTTTTATTTTACGATTTTTGGATGTTGCGATTTCCCGATCTTTAAATTATTAATTTTTTTATTATGTCGATTTTTCGAATTTCTGATTTCTCGAGATTCTCTTGATTTTTCAGTTTTCAATTTTTGGCTTTTTCAAATTTTACATTTTTTCGTGTATTCAATTTTTGGATTTTACTTTTTTTGATGTTTCGATTTTACGATTTTTTAATTTCTTATTATTTCGATTTTTCTAATTACCAATTTCTCGTTTTTTTTTATTTATCAGTTTTTCGAATGTTTCATTGTTTTTATTTTACAATTTTTTGATGTTTCCATTTCCTATTTTTTATTGTTTCATTTTTTCCAACTTTCGATTTCTCGACATTCCCTTTTGATTTCTCAGTTCTTCGATTTTTCGATTTTTTAAATGGAACATTTTTTCGTGTGTTTAATTTTACGATTTTTATTTTTTTTATGATCTTTAAATTATTTATTTTTTTCAATTTTTCCATTTTTCGATTTCTCGATATTCTCTTTTGATTTTTCAGTTTTTCCATTTTTCGATTTTTGAATTTCTTATTATTTTGATTTCTCGACATTCTCTTTTGATTTTCCAGTTTTTCGGTTTTCAAAATCTTTGTTTCTTTACAAGAAATTACCATGTGAAATATATTTTCTTATTCTTGACGTAGTAAGAGTGAGAAGAATAATACTTGTTTTGGTGAAAAATTCATCACAACTGAGATAAGGGTGGATGGGTGGGCCTTTCGATTTTTATTTGAATATATACAGGTTTCTTTCAACACCATACTGAAAATCATTTTTAGACGATTTTGTAGAGAAATACAGATTTTCATCCCAAGATATTTAAAACGTTTAAAATGGTAAATTTTTGTTTTTGGAAACATCGATGTTACAATTAAGCTCCGCCCCTCAGTGTGACAACCAATGAAATATTCATCACATTTGAGACTGGGGTGGGTGGGCGGGGTCTCACTTTTTCGAATCAAACGAAAACGGAAAAATCGAACAATTGAAAATTGAAACATTAAAAATTAAAAATTGTAATTTAACGACGATTATACAAACATTATTGACTGATGGACAACAAAACAATGATTGCGAAATCAAAAAATTAAAGAAACTAACTCAAATTTATTTTATTCATATGCTACTTAAGAAACAAGACATGACTCAGAATCTAGCTCTACGTCACTCAGCTGCCCCCCTTTTAACACAGTATTAACCACAGCCCTCGCCAGGTACCCAGTCGACTGAATCTTCGGTCCTTCCATGAGAACCTTTACGCAATCGTCGTGCAGTCCATGGTCCTGAAAAAACCACACACCCCATCTTAGCTCTGACACCCACACCCATGAGTTAGTATCACCTTCGCGTACATCTCCGACGCGTCTTTAATCAGCTGCTCCAAATCCAACACCTTACTGAAAACCAACTCCGGATTTCGCCCCAAAATAGTCGAAACGATGCTCAACAACTCGACCACTAGTTGCCTATACTCAGGTTGATTGATACAATTCAACATTTCTTCCACTAGAAGGGAGAAAGTCAACTCTGAGCGGGCCATGTTGGACATCGTGGGTTGCTGCGGGAGTGTTTTCTCCTTGATTTTGATACCATGAGGAGTCCGCGTCATCACGTCCCACACCTGGTGGTAAAAAGACTGGGGGACGCGACACAAACAACCCTCGAGGCGGCGTTTTTGGAATGGAGTGAGCCTGCAAAAGTCACTTTATACCACTGGGATTTGTGTGAAAGACGACTTAAGTACTTTTCTTTGGACCCCCACTCTTTGATTGATAACACTTTGTATAAAAGCTGCCTCACTTCGTATGGACTGTGGTCCTCTAGTTTTCTCGTGTGTCCGAATATTTCTAAATAACAACGAATCGCCTCTAACACCCAACCTACTCGTATTTTTAAAATCCCTTTGAAGAGTTCGGGGTTTGTGGAGATGAGACGGCCACAATACAGGATGACCTCTTGTTGGAGGACTGCTTGAATGACGTCGTAGGGTTGGATGGTGTTGTAGACCACGTTCTGGATTTCAGCCGGGGTCAAGGGTTTGTCAAAAACGGTTTCCTTTTGGCCGATAACTCCCACCGTCAACTGGAATTTTTTCATAAAGGTAAGTTCGACGTTTCGGTTACCTGGTACCTGTTTTCCGTGAACAAGAACCGCGGTTATGAAGGGGCTAATCGAGTCGACGTTGTGCGACAACATGCTGCTGGTATAGCGTACGGCCGCCCAGTGCCTCAAACACCCAGCTTGATGGTATATACTGTGAAGGTGCTCTTCCACCGAATGGTCCAGAACCAGGAAAGACCCACCTTCCCGTTTTAACAAAATTCCAAACAATTGGCACTTCGCATACAAACTCTCCACGTGCTTAACCGTTTCGATAATCTCGTAAGTCGACTTAGTCTTAAAGTGCTGGAAGTAACGACTTAAGTGTGATTGGAATGGTTTGAGGCGCCCCCTACCGAGTAATCTTTGAGTTGGTCTTGATAATTAAGTACCCGAGGCACGTCAGTCAAACTCTGATAACCTATATAGTCATGCTGCAGCTGCTTAAACTGAGTGTAAGTATCACTAGGTAAGTCCAAAACGTTCATGAAGTCCAAATGTTCTAGAAACGATGTTGTCACATCTGAGTGAGTTAAGTAACACACTTACCAACGCAAGAGCTCGAAATTAAATTCTGCAACCTCCCGACTCTCACTTTCACCCCATCGCAGTATCCCTTTTTAAGCATGGCGAGCAGATCTAGCATTTTTTTGAATTGTGGATCCCGCATGTGCTCTTCTCGTATCAAAAGACAGACGGTTGGCCGCCCTGATAACCTCCAGTACTTACCCACGAATTGCAATTCAGTCTTTATGTCGTCTATTAGGAGCTCCATGTCCCTGTATAGGTAAAAATCGGACACTTCGAAGATGAGCGGGTAGCACAGGACGGTGGCCCCACACACTCGGTACACTTTACTAGTGCCTAAGCTCCCGATCGGTCGCAGAGGCCGCCCCTGCAGCTTCAACTTGTGATTAACCCCCAAGTTTTCGTAAACTTTAACCAGCTGAGTGGAAGACCAAATCTGCACGGGCTCGACTTCGTGCGGGGTCTGGGTCTGGATGCCGTACGTCGCCATCATGGCTTGCAGACGCATGGATTCCGCGATGAGCACGATCTGGACGACGAGGTCGGTGGCCGTACCCTGAAGAAGTGCACCAGGTCACTATTTATCTCAAGTTTAAACAAAACAGGCATGCAGACGCGGACAACGCAGGCAATTTCGACACAAATGAACGACTGTTAGTAATGACTCTAGTCTATATTTACAGTGTGAATTACTTACTAGGGAGGGTTTGGCCTGGAAGCACAGAACAACGAATCAGTACAAAAACGAATACATTTGTTTTAATAAAAAAACAGTGTTTTAGGTCAAAGCGTGTGATTACTTACAACTGAAAACTTTGCCTGAAAGCAACAAAAGTGTGATTACTATTGGTTGTGTCGGAACTATGGGGGGCTAAAAATGGGGGATACGTACCTGGAAGGCTGAGTATCTGCCGCCTTTTCGCGGACGGTTGTAGGAGGGGAGGTAGCGCCTGATTGGGTCGAGTTCGTTGATGTGGAGGAGACCACCAGTGAGGAGCTGAGCTAAAATGAACATAGCCTGATTCCAGAGAAATATTCCTGTGTCGGGACTCGGTTTCCGAGGGGTGGTGTTAGGGTTGAGTCTCTCTTTGTCTAGGTGTTCAGTCTGCACGTAGTAGTACTGAGGGATAACGGGATCTGAAAATCACGTTTACCCACAGAGCTCGAAACTGACTGAGTCGCACCTCCATTCTGATCCAAGTAGATCCTATCTTTCAACAAGTCCTGATACGTAGAGATTTGATCCGGCAGCGACTTAAAAACGCCATCTATGATCATAAACATGTAAAATAGGGGCCACTCGCACTCGACGTTCTCGAAGTGTTTGATCTCGCCTTTGTCGTAAAACCGCTTAGTTTTATCTTCAGACGCGGTTTTATAACCGTCACGGATGTACCGTTTGAAGCCGTAGTTTCCCTTTAATTTAGTGACCACGTTATTCTTGGCTTCCGTGTATAGTAGGTCTTCGTGGGTGGCAAAAGCCGGAAACGAAATAGTTGGCAGAAGTGCAGCGTCAACACCCTGGAGTACATAATTATGACAAGAAAACACTAGTGCGACAAAAGTAATACTTTAGAACTTGACTCTCGTGGTAGTAAAGTCTCAAAAATACTCCTGTTGCGATTGTGGGCATCTATGTCTACATAAACCACGCTCCATGAGGCCCCTTTTTCCCCAAACAAGTTACAACCGTTGATGGCTTCCAGTGCCGACTTGGCCAACCCAATGGAACTGGCATGAATTTCAGGAGTCCCGTCGTTGTACTTACTCCCCCTCTCCCACATCCCGAAATCGGGGGTCCGGTAGGCCCGCTCCACATAGTAGACTAAATTCTGAACAAAAGCGACCTCATCCTGTCAAAAATTGAACTAAAAGTGCTGCCAACACACTTTTTTGTAACTAACCCACCTGTGTGTAAATTATTTGCATCCCGGACGTGATCATCTGCACCAAAAACAACAAATAAATCGAAACTACGTCAATTTGCAGGTGGTTGTAGGCATCATCTGAATAAATCTCGTTTCCTGTGGTTAGGTGAAACTTGACGTGGAGCGCATGTGCGTTGCACTGATTCTTCTTGAATAACTCGATTCGAGCGGCTTGTTTGATCCAACACTCTAGAATACCTCGCATGCATTTTACAGCTGATTGCCCCAACTCGTACGACTTTCCTCTATCGTCGTCGATCCGTCGGTACGCTTGATACAGCCCCCATACTGCCGCTGCACAGTAGACGCTATCGCGCACGCTCCCGATTTTCGTATCAGTGGATAAAACGGGAAAAAGCCCCGTTATGGGGCTCTGGTAAAGTAGCAGCTGCCGTTTGACTACAAAGCGATTATTTAACTGAAACTACAACTACTAAAGGGGTACCTATTCCGTAGTAGATGTCCAGCTGGCGCACGGTGTCCTCGTAGTTGGAGACTTTGAGGAACTGGTCAAAGTGGGTGTTTTCTTCAGTGATGCTGCTGATGCTGGCTTGCCTGGAAAGGCGGCTGGAATTTAAACATTAAAGAAATGAAAAAAAGGACGCAAATTTACCTTTTGGCCCCAGTCATGCTGCAGCAGCTATTTTTGCATCCACAGTTCGAGAAGCAATGTCATGGCAAGGACGTGGAAAAGTAGGGTTATGTAAACACAATCAGCTGATTGTCAAAGTTCACGTTTGAAGAGCGATAAATGAAAAATTTTGGGTGCTGTAACGTTTAATTATTGTTTTAAGTTCCAAAAACGAGCTACTGTGTTTGTAAAAAAATTACCACTAAAAAAAAAATTAATTTAGGTGACCGTGCTTACACAAGTGTGACGTTGGTTGCCTACTTACACAATTTCTTAGCCACCAAAGCTACACGACAACTTCAGTCGACTTTACTAGTAAAACTCGTATCAAACTTCACACTTTTATTATTCATCTAGTATATATCACAAAATATAAAGTACAAAAAAATAAATAAGGAAGCAACAGGAAGAAAACATTAAAATCGCAGCTAGTCCTACTATAATATCACTCAATTTGGTTAATCAGATTCGAAATATACTCCAGCACGTTTTTGTCCTTTAGTATCTGCATGTGGTCGACTGTGGGTAGCGCCTTCCACAAGACGTTTTGCTTCTGGAGCGTCTTCCAGTGCAAGCAGCCCTCCAGAGAGCGTCTGTTGACTGTGCCGTCACCGTCGCCGTTGATCAAAGTGGGGTACCCATCCAGCCACGTCCCCGGCTTGTAGAACAACCGCTCCACCGTGTCGACGCTTACGCCATACAGACAGTGCACTTCCACCCCCGGCGGAGTGAAATCCAGCTGGTAGCTTTCCGTGTCTTTGCGCATTTCCCACCCCTGCGGATAATTAAGAGCTTTAAAATACGACTGGAGGTTGGATAGGGTAAAGTTTTGGCGGTCGGTTTGCACCAGGATTTCGTCCGGTTTCCAGAAGAGCTTGGAGGGAAGCAGCCACGCCAGACTGGGATTGGTGATTTGTTCCTGACGCATGACGCTCTCGCGGAGAGCGTAGGAGCCGAGATCGTCACCTGAAAACGACACTTTTGATAAGTAATTTTAAAAAACGACAAAAAGTACCGATTGCGTAGACTTTGATGGCCTTCACGGAGCCGCCCCACGCCCCACTCAACGTAACCAAACTCCTGATGTACTTGTCTTTCCACTGTTGAGTTTGGTTGTTGAGGAGATTTAAAGCCATGGGGCCCCCCATTGAGTGTGCTATGATCATGACAGGCTGGTTATTGTTCTCTTCGTACGTTTGTTCAATCAGCGTCTTCACGTCCTCGAACCATTTCCGATTTTCGTCTGCAACCCCACATTACAAACCAACTTTCAACAATTTGTTACTTACTTGGAGCTTTTCTGAAGTCGTAGGGCGCCCCTTTGATCGTTTTGTTTCGCTCGTGCCCCAGACTCACTAGAGTGGTTACAATGCTGTTAAAGTACGCCCCTGTAGACGCGTGACTTGGGTCCAGCCACTCCACGGTCTCTGTACCCCCGAAACCCGGTATCCTGGTCTCCACGCCGTCGTTATTGCGCGTCGTTCGCGTCGCGTTTTCATACACCAGCTTGATGTTGTCGATCCAGCAGTCAATCACTATGGGTACTAGCAATTCCATGTTCAACCAAATGTTGAAGTAGTCTGCCGTGGTTTTTTCACAAATGTAGTGAACCACTGACGATTTGTTGAGTTTGGCTTCCACTTGCGAGCCCCCATCGCCTGGTATCAACAAAACTGGGTTCAGTCCGGCGCTGGTTGTGGCGATTACCATAAATAAACAAACGATTTTGAGGTTATGTAACTTTGTCATTTTTCTAGAACGTAGTGCGGATTTTACTGTAAATTTGGCGAGACGGTTCGGAAGCAATCAACTAAGTGTTTTCATTACGGATCAAGTTCATTATAATAAGCAAAGAATAAATAATCACGCATAATTGACAGTTGACACTAGTGACGGGTCAGTGGCGCAACCACACTAGTAACAAGAGACGGTGAATGGCGCGGCTGCACGTGCCAGAAGAAGACGGAGATAGAGTCGTAGGCGGAGCGTGAAGCGGCTGCAGGATCGGGTGATCGTAGATTGCGCACTTTGTTCGAGCTTATCGGTGTTCACAGTGGCGGAACATTGGGGTTTCGGTTAAATTATTATTGTTTATAGCGGAATGGTGGGCTGCTTACGCAATTATTCTATACAGGCATAAACTTCTATTGTCACACTATTGATTACAACGTTGTTTTTCAATAGAAATTAATTGGAAAAGTGTTTTTTTAATTGCACGCTACTGTTTTGTGCGCAAATTTAATCAAAAAACAATAAACATGAGTTGTTTTGATGATGTGACCTTTGGAAGCTCGGTTTGTGGTAGTGTGGCAGATGTTGAACCGTGTAATCTGGTCGGCGACATTTAAAGGACACCTTTTTTACCTAAACAATAATAATTTGGAATTGATTGATGGTTGCTTTATTAATCAAGGTGGCTGTTTAATTTGCCGCCTTGTTGTAATAAGAGTTGTAATCAACTTGTCAACAAGCGACATACACATATATCACAAGATCCCATTCCATTGTACTGACTAATGGCTGCCATTGTCCTGATAAAATTTATTTAACAAACTATGAGTTCTATGTCCGCTCTTCTTTTCAAAAAATGTACTATATCTAAAAACCAATTATAATTCACCTCCACAAAATTTTGCGATTGTCCGAAAATCAAAGAGGTTATAATTTTCGATGATTATTTCCTGTATTTCGATTAATTGAGGTGGGCCGATCCCGACTGTGCTGCAATGTCGGGTCAACCCGTGACGGAAAAGGGGCAAGCCCCATTTTCCGTCAATTTCCAAAAATCAGTTTAATATACTGGGCCCCCATGGGGGCGTATCAGATATTAAGCTGATAAGAACAGATACTACACTTTGATCGAAGCCATGAAGGCCGAGAAGCGATAACGAAAAGGGGGCCCCAAAATCAAAATATAGGTTTTAGGGCACAGGGGTAGTCGGAAGAAACAACCCCCAACGCCTTCTGGTAGCCACCCTTGGTAACACTATGTAGGTGGTAAATTCGTTTTTCTAAAAGAAACAGAAAACTGGGTGCCTTAAAATGCTTTAAAAATTGGCTATACAGTAGCGGTCATTTCTACGGAACCACTCGATAAAAAGTCAAGTTGGTAGCCCTGTCATCTAGTACTTTACGCCGAACGCGGTTGGTAGCGGTAGTTGATATGGCAATCGAAATTAGTACAACACGAATGTTTCGGTTGCCCTCAGCTATGCCGCACTGTATCCCGTGCAGACTGTATGTTCTGTTCATTTATTTTTTTAAAATAAAAGATCCACATTGACAATGGGGTCATCTAACCTGTCAAATTTTTGACACATATGTTTTCCCCCAGAAACCCGTCAAGGTCACTTACACCAAACAAATTTTGAAAATTTACACTAGGGAGTGGTTCTATAGAAAAGATCGGGACTTTAGATATAAACTTTTTTTGCATTGTAGAAATACGTTTAATATAAGTGTGTAATAAATTTTATTCGAAATTTACAGATTTCTTCTCTTGATAGTGGAGGAAACTGCTTATGCTTGAGAGTGAAGTCAAACTATATAGAAGCGATGGTATTTTCCCTTGACATATTTGTTTACATAACATTTTAGTTATAAAAGTGACATTTCGCTGCTGTACTTCATCGTTTGTGAGACAGATGGCGCCACACAGGTAACAATATTAATTAATAATTACAATTGAAGAAATTTATTATGTTGTAGGCAACCAGTAAAACATCAAGCTTTCTCCTCCTGTTTTATCGCCTGCAATCAAAATCACTTCTAAACAAAAATTTCCACCATCATCGGCGGCTTACAATTAACTGCTTCTGTTAACTGTTAATACCGGCGTACGTTTTCCTAATCCCCATAAATAACAATCAGCGCACACGTGCCCATCATTCTCGTCATCCTTAATTGACTAAATCCGATTTCGATCACTACTTAGAATTCCTCTTTATCAGCGTATCCACCTCGAGAAGAACAAGTGACGCAACGTCGCCTCCGATCCTCCTTAACACCTACCATTTATTTCCTCCACATACTTCTCTCGTAATCTTGTAGACACAAGATTAGACCCGTTTCGGCGTTGCAGCCCATTGTGCATGCTCGAGCGTCATAATTGGCTGTGACACCCGGAGAAAAGGGTGAAAGAGTGTTCCCGTGGAAAAAAGATCGGAAGTCGGATTGAGATTGACGCGGCGGTTTTCGGAAAGCAAGTAGCAGAAAGTGCAATTAGCTGAGGTAATCTTGATGAGACCACCGGCGCGCCGGTAATTTCTGCTGCGCCTTGATATACGCTGATGGACACGGTTCAAGTGGTCTGTCTTATTTAACGCTACTTAAAGATGTCCAATAGACAAAACCGGAGAGTGCAGAAACACAATAAGAAGACTTGACGGCAGGCCAGCCGAGCAGAAACAATACGTACGTCGGTTCACCATTTGTCGCAGGTTAAGGGGGGACGCACGCGGAGAGGCCGAGCGGCTTGGCTCGACAGAGTTTCAGCGGGAAAGGGTGGTGGTCGATATCGAATTCATTCTTTGCTTACTAAATGTTTTTTTTTTTTTTTTTGTATACGTATAGTTATATTTATTAGTTATTTTCTGTGTTCCGTAATGGGGTAGGAGATAACACCTTTAGAAGAGCATTCCAAGTGTCTTTTTAAAGAATGCAAGGATCTTGGGGAACTCAAGTGTCTTTTTTTAAGGATTTTAAAGAATCTCGGAAGTCCAGATTGTCTTTTTTTTAAGAATGCACAAGATTTACAGATCAGGTCAGGTCAGGTCAGGTCAGATCAGGTCAGATCAGGTTAGGTTCTTCCGCATTCTTAAAAAAATACAATCTGGACTCCAAACTGTTTTTTTTTAAGTATTCGGAAGAATCTCGTGAGTCCGGGCCTCCATTTGTTAAAGATTTTTAAAGAGTGTGAAAGAATCTCAGGGCGCCGAGTGTCTTTTATTTTAAAGAGTTCGAAAGGCCCGGAAGAGTCTGTAGGAACCCAATCGTCTTTTTTTTTTAAAGAATTTGAAACAATTTTGAGGGCTCCGATCGTCTTTTGTAAAGAATGTGGGAGAATCTCGGAAGCTTCAAAGTGTATTTTTTTTAAGGATTTTAAAGGATATTGAAAGTCCTGACTATCTTTTTTTTAGGAATTTGACAGATTTTCGGTAGTCCCGAGTTTTTTTTATAGAATTTTAAAGAATCTTGGGAATTCCGACTGTTCTTTTTTGAGAATTTTGAAGAATTTCGGGGGCCGCGACTGTTTTTCATTTCAGAATTTGAAAGAATTTTGGGGGGCTCGAGTGTCTTTTTTTAAAGAATTCTCGGGAGTGTCGGGGGTCCCGAACGGCTTTTTTAAAGAATGCGAAAGAATTTCAGGGGCTCTGAATGTCTTTCTAGAATAGTTTAATTTAAAGAATCTCGGAAGCCTCGACTGTCTCTTTTTTTAAAAATTCGAAAGAATCTCGGAGACTATGAGTATCTTTTTTAAAATAATTGTGAAGAATCTCGGGGACAGTGAGCGTTTTTTTTTAATTTTAAGAATTCGAAATAATCTTGAAGGCCCTGAGTATCTCTTTTGAAGAATTCGAATGAATTTCGGGGGAATTGATTGTCTCTTTTTTAAAGAATTTAAAAAAATTTCGGGGTCTCGGACTGTCTTTTTTTTTAATGCGAAAGAATCTCAGGGCGCCCAGTGTCTTTTATTTTAAAGAACTAGAAGGAATCTGTAGGAACCCCGATTATCTTTTTTTTAAGAATTTTAAAGAATGTTGGGAGTCCCGACTATATCTTTTTCATACAAATTTGATAGATTTTTTGTAGACCTGACAGTCCTTTTTTTAAGAATTTTAAATAATCTAGGGAATTCCGATTGGTTTTTTTAAAGAATTTTAAAGAATCTTAAACAATTCCGGAGAGCCCGACTATGTTTTCTATGAACTCTAAATAATTTCAGGGACCCTCGAGTGTCTTTTGTTTTAAAGAACTAGAAAGAACCTATAGGAACCCCGATTGTCTTTTTTTTAAGAATTTGAAAGAAGTTTTAGGGTTCCGACTGTGTTTTTTAAAGAATGTGAGAGAATCTCAGTCGTTTTGAAGTGAACTTTTTTCTAAGAATTTTAAGGGATGTTGAGAGTCTCGACTATATCTTTTTCCTATAAATTTGACACATTTTTTGATAGACATTTTTTTAAGAATTTTAAAGAATCTTGAGAATCTCGATTGTTTTTTTTTTAAGAATTTGAAAGAATTCCGGGGCCCCGACTGTCTTTTTTTTAATTTTAAAGAATTTCGTGGAGCTCGAGTGTCTTTCTTTTAAGAATTTGAAAGAATTTCGGGGGCCTCAAGTGTCTTTTTTTAAGAATTCTCGGGAATGTTGGGAGTGTTGTTTTTAAAGAATGTGAAAGAATTTGAGGGGTCCTGGGTATCTTTTTCTAAGAATTCCTTTTTTTTTAAGAATTCGGAAGGATTTTGGGGGCCCCAAGTATCTTTTTTAAGAATTTAATTTAAAGAATATCGGAAGCCTCGACTGTCATTTTTTTAAGAATTCGAAAGAATCTCGGTGGCCACGAATATCTTGTTTAAAAGAATCGTAAAGAATCTCGGGGACACTAAGTGTCTTTTTTTTAAAGAATTTTAAAAATCTTGGCAGCCCCGACTGACTTTTTTCTTTAAAAATTCTAAATAATCTTGAAGGCTCTGAGTATCCCTTTTTAAGAATTCGAAGGAATTTCGGGGGCAATCATTTGTCTTTTTTTTTTAAGACTTCTGGAAGGGCTTGTGGTTCCCAAGTATCTTTTTTCAAAGAATCTCGAGGGTTCTGACTGTATTTTTTCATGAATTCAGAAGAATCTTGGGGGTCCGAGTGTCTTTTTTTGAAAAATATGAAAGAATCTCGAGGATCCTAGTGTAATTTTTTTAAGAAATCGGAAAAATCTTGGGGGTCCCGAGTGTCTTTTCTTAAGAAATCAGAAAGATCGTGTGAACCTTGACCGTTTTTTTAAAGAATTTGAAAGATTTCGGAGGCTACGTCTTTTTTTTAAGAATCTCAGAATTCTAATCACTCTCGGCTATTCGAGTATTTTTTTTAAGAATTCGAAAGAATCTCGGAGGTCCCGAGTGCCTTTTTTTAAAGAATTTTGGGGAATTTCGGGGGCATTGGGTGTCTTTTTTTAAAGATTTGTAAAGAATCTTGAGATCCCCGATTGTCTTTTTTTCTTTAAGAATTTGAAATAACCTTAAAGGCCCTGAGTATCCCTTTTTAAGAATTCGAGAAAATTTCGGGGGCCTTGATTATCTTTTTTTTTAAGAATTCGGAAGGGTTTTGGGGACCCCAAATATCTTTTTTTTAAAGAATTTGATTTAAAGAATCTCGGGAGCCTCGACTGTCTTTTTTTAAGAATTCGAAAAAATTTTGAGGCCACCAGTGTCTTTTTTTTGGGAAATCTCGGAGACTGTCTTTTTTTTTAAGAATTCGAAATAATCTTGAAGGTCCTGAGTATCCCTTTTTAAGAATTCGAAGGTTTTTCGGGGGGATTGATTGTCTGTTTTTTTAAGAATTCTGGAAGGGCTTGTGGATCCCAAGTATCTTTTTTTAAAGAATTTATTTTAAAGAATCTCGGGAGTCTCGACTGACTTTTTTTAAAGAATTTGAAAAAATCTCGAAGGCCACGAGTGTCTTTTTTAAAGAATTTTGGGGAATCTCGGGGACACTGAGTGTCTTTCTTTTTGAGAATTTTAAAGAATCTTGAGAACCCTGACTATTTCCTCTAAGAATTCGAAATAATTTTGAAGTCCCTTCTGAGATCTCGAAAGAATTTATGGGGCTTTGATTGTCTTTTTTTTTTAGGAACTCGGAACGGTTTTGGGGGCCCCAAGTATCTTTTTTTAAGAATTCG